CCCAAACAGCATGTTTATGTTAATTTTACGTAAAATGAATGCAAAGTTTTTGTCCATTTTATATCATTTTTACGCAAACCATTGTCAAGAAAATGTCAACATGTTTGCAGAAATGTCACCTCTGTGATACGTAAACGGTGATATAAAATTAACGTAAATTTTACGTAAAATTGACATTCCCGTTTGCATTCCAAACAGCATGTTTACATTCATTTTGCGTAAGATTTATGTTAATTTTCGCCTGGCATTCATGCGTATTTAAAGAGTCAATCAGTCCCATTGATATACCGAACCTCCTCTTCCTTTACGTTCTTCAGAGCTCTAGGGTGGTTGGACGAGTACACGAGTACTCATTCTCACCAGCACTCAAGAGTACCAAAGTGACCTACTGCTTCCTCCTCCCGTACTGGAACCTCGGGAGGAGGAGTAGATGTTCAAGGGAGCTCTCTTCCTTTTAGGATAGAGAAGATGTAGTACTTGTGGGGTTGGGATTCTACTCTACGTAAACATGATGTCATTTTCATGGCAATCGCAAGAAATTTACATTGTTTGCAAGAAATTGATATCGTGTTTACGTGAACATGCTGCTTGGGCGGATGATCCCCATTAAGAAAGCGGTCTTCTTCCTTGCACGCAAGAAACCCGACCGAACTTCCGTATCGCGACGGATTTGAGATGTTTAACCCTTATCCAGGCACTGGGCCCTGGGGGGGGGGGGAGTCCAATGGAGCAAATGAAATATACCCCAGGGTATATTTCATTTCATTACTCCACGCAATTTTTTCAAAATATTCTGCAAATTTGATATAGGTTTCATAGACAGTCATCCATAGATTCAAAAACTAATTTTCAATGTTTGGATTTGCTTTTAAGGAAAAAATGCTAAAATTGTTCGGCCTTGCCCGTTTGTGTCACAAAAATACCTTGCCCGGATAAGGGTTAAGGCCGATCGCTAACGCACGAAGAGGCCGGCGGAGGCACAGTGATGTACGTCCGAGTTAGGAGGAATCCCAAACCCAGACTCGTCGAGAGACCCTCTCGACGAGTCTGGGTTTGGGATATCACCTCCGCCTCCTCGCAATTGAATCCAGACGGAACTTTGTTTTTGTCTCTATATATTAATATATCAAACCCAAAGGGAATAAATCGGCTGCTGTTGACCATATCCTCGACATCTTTCGAGGCACGCAGTCCCTCACGTAGACACGAATCGGGCCTGTTTTCGTCACATCCAACTAGGGTAAAACCGTCAAGTTCGGACGATATCAGGTGCATCGTTAGAAAATGAAGAATCGGTGAGCTCTCCCTCGGACACAGTTCTTCGCAGCTTGGACGAACTGTTTCTAAGGGTGATCTCGCAAACACGAGACAATTTATTTCATGGTGCCCGAGCTTAGATGGTTTAACCCTATCTGGCTATCTACCGAATGCTGTGGATTTTCCGACTCGGAAGAATGCCAGTCTAGACCAGATATGGACAAATAACTCAGAGGCGCAGGTGAAGAAAACCTGAAGGTCATCCGATCGTTCCGCCTCACTAATGTATCCAGTGCCTCACGAAATATCCTCGGGGTAAAACTCCTCGATCCGTTAAAAATGAGAGATCTCAATCTTCAACGACTTCGCTTTCGATTCGAATACACCGACTGGAAGGTTCTACCAGACTCGTACGACCAAGACCGTCTCGGGTTTTGCTGCTAGTGACTCGAGCCACTCCGCGCACGGACTCCGACTTCATGGTCGGTTTCCATGGCAACGAAAGCTAACAAACATGCTGGAGCGCCTCGAAGGAACTAATCGACCGTCAGAAAGAAAATAAATCCAACACTTCTAATTCTTAACATTTTTCTCCCTACGCACCCCCTGAAGCTCAATGCATCCAGCACGCAGGTTTGAACCCCATGAACCCCCTAAATACGGCCTTGCTGAGAGCGTGAATAAGTGAACTCACTTCGAGGAGATCAAGCGATACGCTCTTCCACGGAGCAAAACTTGATCTCGAGCGATTCTAAATCCGAAAAGATGTTGGAAAACGACGATCTCTCTCTCGCTCCCACGTGACCCGACCCGACTCGACCCCTTCCGTCAGCTTTATTCCTGCAGAATGTTCGACTATGGAAGCAGTCGGAGCGCAGCAGAAAATCGATTCCTACACTAGTTCGAGGATCGCCGATTCGATATCCCTGTTGGAATTTTCCACCTGGATACAGCTGACAAAGTAAGCTCGAATCCGGTCGGAAAATTCCATCTGGGAACCAATCACGATCCGGCATGATCCAGCGGCTTCTTAGTTGGAATGAGTCAGCTGGAAGCTGACCACCCTCGCACCCCCTGCACCTCTGCTCCGCAACCCCGCTGAAGAACCCCTGCTCTAATACTTTGGAGTCGCGAGCTTTCATCCCCAGACCTCTACGAAGAAGACGTGAAGCATTTCTCGCGTGGACCCGATGGCATACCGTCGAGGCCTGTAAAAACCCGTGCCAGAGAGTTGGCCGAGCCTCCGATGCATCTTTTCGCCGGATCCGATAGAATACCGACGAACCCGAAGAGAGATGAGAATGCACCGACTCCGAAGAAGAGCCGAAAGAAGACCCGAGGCCAGATGGCCCCAAATCTCTTCTGCCGAGAACCTTCGAATGCATCCGTCTCGACTGCCTGAAGGAATCCGACGCCCTTTCCATCGATCCCTTCCGATGAAACCGTCGACGATGGCTATCGATCGACGATGCCTTCGTCACCTGGTCGCTCCGACTCCGGATGGAAGGCGTAAAAGACAAAATCAGTCTGCTGTCTTTTCTCGGCTCTGCGTGTGAAGGCGGCGTACGATTCCATCAGCTTCTGGCAGAGAATGGCATCCTTCTCTGGCTCGATTCGTCCGTGACGAGTACTTCAGACGACCTTCGGTTCGATTCTGGAGAAGTTCACCCGTCAGAAACAGGCGTTTAACAGAGAGGTGTTCTGTCCCTGATTCTCTTCGGCGTCGAGACGGACTCCACACACTCGTCCTTACCGCAGATCTGCGAATACCAACATGCTGTCTGAGATCGGATCCAACAATGGCGTGAACTCACTTCGAGGAGATCAAGCGATACGCTCTTCCACGGAGCAAAACTTGATCTCGAGCGATTCTAAATCCGAAAAGATGTTGGAAAACGACGATCTCTCTCTCGCTCCCACGTGACCCGACCCGACTCGACCCCTTCCGTCAGCTTTATTCCTGCAGAATGTTCGACTATGGAAGCAGTCGGAGCGCAGCAGAAAATCGATTCCTACACTAGTTCGAGGATCGCCGATTCGATATCCCTGTTGGAATTTTCCACCTGGATACAGCTGACAAAGTAAGCTCGAATCCGGTCGGAAAATTCCATCTGGGAACCAATCACGATCCGGCATGATCCAGCGGCTTCTTAGTTGGAATGAGTCAGCTGGAAGTTAGCTGGATTTTTTATATTTTTTTACAGGTTATTGGAAAAAAGGAAACAACCTCGGGGTTTTGTACGATTCTTGTTGCATGATGGAAAAAGAAGATGAAGGATTACAACAGTCGAAGGATTAGTCGACTAGGGATCGGATCGGTCGCCAAAAAAAAAATGAGAACGCCCACACGCTTCCGGACGCAAAAAGGATCAAATCTGGGCTGGACGGTAGAAATAACGGCGCAAAGCTCATTTTCCACATCCGAACGGCACCGAATTTTCGCTCTGGTAAGATGAGACACGCGAGAAGAGAATCTTCAAAGACGGAGTCCTTTCTATTTGGTGAAAACAGCGCACCAACACCACCCCGAGTACTCAAATTACAGCTCAAAAAGCGGAATCCATCCCGGATCGCGAGAAACGACCGGTGGAAATGGACACCCGTTGGAAGAGAATGGATTTTCAAAGCCTGCACTAGGGGATCGCTTTCATTCGGTTTCGTTCTCCGGAGAAAGAATAAAAAAGCCATCGGTCTTGCATTTCGGAGAAAAAGGTTTTACCTCCCGCTACTTTGCTTAACTCATTTCGTCCCATCGTCCTATTTAAAGAACGGCAATGTTTAAACTTTATTTTTTCCAATGTACAATTTAACATTTTCCAAAATGTATTATCACACTTTACAATAAAATTACACTTGCTCCCCCCCCCAAAAAAAAAAGTCAGTAAAGGTTTTCAGAAATTCCACAGGAAAAAAAAGAACTTAATGGGTTAAATCTTTCCTTGAGCGTCTTCACGAGGCCGAGAAGAAAGAAGAAGAAGAAAGAAGAAAAGAAGAAGTGAACGTTGAAAAGTGAAAAGAAATATAAAATAATCCATATGATACATAGTTTTACGAAATTGCAGATCGTAATGAACTTAAAACTAAAACTGGAATGACCCGTCTCGACCGGCTGGAATGACCGGTCTCGACCGGCTGGGATCCCCTCGCGCCCCAGTTTCAAAATCGCCGATCCGACTTGTTCCCCGAATTCCATCGTGATGCGCCGAAGAGTGCGGGGAACACCGGTGTGAAACATGGCAGAAAGGTCACGATGACTCCTGCGTGACTCCTGAACCTCCCGAGCGAATGACCGTTTCGAGTCGGTGAGTCTCAACTATAGGAAATGTGCTACCGAAACCCTTGCCCGTTATTCTTCGAGCATCGTCGCCACCTCCGTCATCTTCGTCACCTTCGTCACTTCTCCGCTTTGCGTCCCGTACCGACCGACTGCGTCCGTCTGCCAAGAGTCGTCCCGTCGTCGATCGCGGCGAAGATGCTGTCGTTCTTTCGACGACGAGGAACGGCCGAGAAGTCGTCTATCGTGTCTGTCTCGAGAGCGCGTTTTGCCGTTCGATTGCAGCTCCGGTGGACGTCTGCAGCAAACCCATCGCGATCGGTGACTCCGACCGCCATCGCCGACGGTCCGAAGCACCCGGGTGACACGATCGGTCCTCGCTCGAGAGTCCGAGTCTGTCGGTCGCAGCTGCCACGCGGTCGCCTGAAACTGCGCTGGACTGCTGGGTTCCATCTGGTCTCGTCACCGATTTCATTCGGGTTCGTATCTTCCCTCGCCTTGCATACGTGCCGTCCGCGTACGAGATCTGATCGAAAACTTCCGGGACTGATTTTTTTAAATGACGCTGTGGTGATCCGGGTTCCGATGGTTTGACACGTTCTTCGGCTTGGGAAAGAAGAAGAAACGACTGGGAGCCAAGACCGGGGAGTAGTGCGGATGATCGAGCACGGGGATTGCGGGCTCGGTCAGAGATTGGTGCACGGCGATGACTCGCTGGACCTAGGACGTCGTCGTGCTGCGGGATCCACGACCTTGCCTCACGCTTTTCTCTTTCTGGAAAGAGAGATGAGCGGGAGGCAAGGTTTTCTCACACTTTTCTCTTTCTCTTTCTCACGGTGAGATCGTAAGTCCGGGTCACCGTTTGCCCTTCTGGTCTCACCCTCACCGTGCTCACTCGTCTGCGCGATGCCGTTCGCAGGAAGAGAAAAGCGGCAGGCGAGGAGAGGGAGGCAAGGAGGGGCAGGCAAGGAGAGGGAAACAAGGTCGTGGATTCTGCAGCACAACGTCCCAGGCCCAGCGAGTCATCGCCGTGCACCAATTATCTGACCGAGCCCGCAATCCCCGAGCTCGATCATCCGCACTACTCCTCGGTCTTGGCTCCCAGTCGTTTCTTCTTCTTTCCCAAGCCGAAGAGCGTGCCAAAAGGAACGGATTCGAGGACATTTAAAGCAGCATCAGAAACGCGACGCGAGCGCTGCCGGCGACTCCAAGAGAAGAGCACCGGAGATGCGGAAGGGAACCACTTCGAAGGAGATGGCCATCGACAGTCGGAAAGAGTCACCACAGCGTCATGATAATAAAAATCAGTCCCGGAACTTTTCGACGAGACCTCTCGTTTCTTTCGGTGCAATCGGAAGAATGGATCGCCACACTGTGAAAAGTTTAAAGCGCCTAGCCACGACGGCGCACTACAAGTTCAAGCGGCAAAAAGTTTCACAGCCGATGGGACGCGTCATCGTTCGTCTAGAATTGTGTACTGGTTTTATCAATAACGAGATGCATTGATGCGAGTGCCAGCCAAGACCGAACGCCCGATCCGTAACATAAAGATTTTAAATGCCGAGATCGAATACTTCGGCATTTAGAATCTTCCGGAAACTTTGATTGCTTTTGAAACATCATGATTACATTTTAGCCTAATGTTGGTCCCACGAGTCTCACCATGAGAAAAGAACAACAGAAGAAAGAATAACTCTTCTTAAAGTTCGATGCTTGGGTGAGGAGTTTCCGGGGGAAAATGAACGCCTTCTGACGAAAGGTTTCAGTCTTGTCATGGGAACGAGGAACATTTCACGCGTGGGAAAGTGTTAAGGGCACTAAAATGGCTACCTGATCTGTGAACAAAAAAAAAATTCGGAAGAGAGATTTGGGTACCGACGGACTTTTCTCGCTCGACACGGTTTCTCGATGGGTTGCAGCATGGATTCATTCGTCGTGGCGATCGTCCTGAATCTCGATCGACATGCACTCGAGGAACTTCTTAACCGTGATTTTCATTCCTTTTCGCAAAGATCCAGAACCGAAGAACGTTACGATGACGAAACCGTAAAGAACGCAATCCGTAATCGCAAGAGGTCTTCACGTCCGAGTACTCGATCGCCGGTGCCGCTGAATCCGGAACTCGCAAACGCTGGACATCTTGTCGGAAGTTCCGAAAATTCCTTGTAAAATTAAACTTCTTGAAAATTTTCATGCATTGCAATACGTTTAACGCTTCATATATGCCAAACCTTTACATAGGAGACATCTTTCATGCATTTTTGAGAGGTCATCGTCTCGAGTTGCTCTCCATTTAAATACTTTTCGAAGCGACTCGTTTCCTGTGTGGCGTGAATCCAGAGCCACGTGCTCCTGTGCTTCTCAATTTTGCGATCGAATGCGATTCTCTCTTCGCCGAGATTCGTATCGATCGTTCCCTCGAATTCCCCGAGACTCGAGCTTCTTCAAAGCATCTTTTCCTGCCCTCATCGGCTTTTCGGTATTCCTAACTTTCGATAGAATCCGGACGTTTGCTTCGGTCCTTCAGAAAGGCGTGCATCCACGCTCGCTCGAACCCGGCGACACTCTCGCCGCGAAGCACGAGCGTAGTGCAAGGTGAAAGAGAAGGAAGAAAAGGAGGATCGCTTCCTCCAGACGAAGTCGAGGCGAAGTGCATCCTGCAACCCTGCCATTCGCACTGCGGTTTCGGTATACGAGAATGGCTGCCGTGCCTCGCGCTCGCCCGGTCCCCTACCGTCTCCGCACTGGTGCGTTCGCCCGCAGAGCTTCCATGGGATCGCCTTACACGACCTCGATACTGCTTCGGATGGCGTCGGATCGAGCTCAGACGGGTTTCTCGTAAATAAGCGCTCGTGGCCTTGCTCCGTCGGAACTAATAGAGATTGAATTTCCCGAGCTTCTCGAGAGTGCACCATGCATAATGTATGCCGTGTGATAAGATCTCCAGTAAGAGTGGACTCCGAATCCGGGGATCATTTTTGGCATGCCCAGTATTTTTGGGCATCGTTTACGTCTTTACTCGGCGTGCATTTTATTAGCGAACATCCTTTGCTGAAAAAGGCATCGAAATTTTCACAACTGACAAATATGATACGCTTGAAATTTAACGTAAAGAAAATACTTTTCCAGACACAACCTTAATATGAGATAGTTGTAAAATTCTAAAATCCTCGTAAAGGAGCATTTGAAGGAGCGGATGGCCTTTCGCTTTCGCCCCTAGAACGGACCAGCCCCTTGCCCATGGTTCCTTTCCACCCCCTTACCCCTTCTTTTGCCATACTTATTGGCGGCATTAGGAGAGTTTTGAGGGAGATAATCTCCCTAATGTTTTCCAAAATTACGCATGATATTTTCTACGGAAGTAACATAATCGCTGAGGGCAAAGTGTTTGAAAATACTGTAATGTCTTCAGCAGTTATTATACTGCTAAGGATGCAATTTTTTAAAGGATCTGGCAATAATTGGCAAAGGTGCAGGAATCTCTCCCCGGGATTCACCTAGGCGAGAGAAGGGTGCTGCATGTAGGCGAGAATTCACAGTAAGAGTACGAAATTTATACTGATGGGAAAGGGGAGGAAGCTGTAGCGTAGTGGGACTATATGAGTCGCAGGCTACTTTTAATCCACCCCTCCTCCCAATGAAATGTTTCTTTTTTTTCGCAGCGCCTCCGATGTCCAAATCTCACACTATTTTCTCTTGCATAATCTTAAGACCGCGCATGATAACGAGACTCGCTATTTGGCGGAGCGAGGTCCAGTTTGCGATTCACTTCAGCGGATTATATTATTCATGACGAGAAATGATAAAGCACATTGTCGTTCGACTCGGTCCCTCCATTTATGCGAACGATCATATGAAGTCACGCGTAACCATCGTGTGCAGTGAGTGATGCGTAAGGAAGGACATGGAGACGACAGACTACAGAATGAGCTGGACGGAAGGAATTAGCAATGATCCACTGGCGAAGGAGGAAAAGGACGAAGAAGTGATGAGTCGGGGTCGAGTGGAGGTCGAGAAAAGAACGAAGAATGACTGGTCGTGGCCTTGTTTCACGTTCTACCTTTTATCCGATAACTTCTTCCTGACATCCCTTTTCCTCCTTGTTATACATCCCCACTCTCCTATCTTTGATCGTTGATTCCTCTTTGATTCCCGAATCGTACCCATGCTGATTCATGCTGATCAATCACTATAGTATTGAACTTCAGCAAACATTTTAAAATGAATATGGAATTTTATTTCACATTCATTTGCGTTATCTCTTATGCTTTAAAAAAATGCTGTGCGTTTCACTTCGCGCTATTTAGAATGTATTTGTTCAAATTAGCTTATAGGGATGTGTCAATTGTGATATGTTTTGGGGGATAAGGAGTGGGAGAGAATAATGGAATTTGTGCTTGGGGAATATCGGTTCTTCGTGCAAAAAATACAACTTAATAAACCCGTCAGCTGTACACATATGTGAAAAACTTATAATAAAAAAAGAAACCAACAAGAACAAGTCAAACTCCAGAGGAGCTCTTCCTTTTTTATTGCTCCACACGATGAAACTATGAGAAACAATGGCATTAGAAGAGGGGCAGAGTGAACGGTGAACACAGAAGAAATTGCCCAAAATGCATTATTAAAAAACTTCCAAGTAAGATCGAAGAGCTTTACTGTTCATGCATGCATGCATTCAATAATTGGTTTTTCATCCATCTTGCATACATGTCGTTGAAGCACAGTCTGTCATATATTCCATTTCTCCTAACGAACGACTACAACGGAAGCCAGCTATTTACGTATATCTGACGTCATCGCATCTGAATTCGTGGGACGGTAATATAATTCCTATATTTTTTCTGTCTTTCTCTCTCGTCTCACGTACTGTCGTCACCTCTTGGCCCTGTGCAGTGAGGTTATAGTTACGATGTTGATCTAAGGCCACACGTTGTGGGGTATGAACATCATAGTGGCAATGCTGCGATCTGGCTAAGGAAGAGGAAAGCGAAAGCTTTCAAGAGCGTGGCGTAGGTGTCAGTTGAGGTGGATGCGTGATTGCATTCCTCTCCATCGCAGGAACAATACATGATCTGAACCTTGAACGTGCCGGCTCGAGTGTAACAATGTCTGCCATCCTCCAACGTGGCTTTTCCCAGCCATCCGCAAGATCGCACGTAGCGAAAATCGTCTCCAACTAGATGAGAAGAAGACAAACATTATTCAATCAGCTTCCACACCGTATTGCATTTTACCGAGTTAAAAAAAAATGTCGAATGTAAGTGAACGTTCATGCTGAATGACAGGGGTTTTCCAGCTATGAGGGCGACCATGAACAATAACTAACTTAGCGCAACTTCGAAAGTTGTAAAACTGGCATGACGTCGAGGTGATGTCAGACTAGTGGATGTTGTTATTACATTATTTTGCTTTCGCTTCTATAAGCGAAATTAAACAACCTGAAGATTTATCTATCAATTGAACCAGTTTCAATGCTACAGCCACTTAGACACAGCGCTGCAGTAGGCTCATCGACTCCGTAGATGAGCCTGAACTGGAGTTAAACTGAAAATACAGGTAATCAGCACATCCACTGAGATTTTTCGTTATAAATTGAAACCAGTACCACTGAAAATCAGTTTCGGTAAGCACATTCATTGCCTAGCTATAAGTGGTCAGCCAATTGCCCCTTGCCCAGTCACAGTTTAATCATGGTTTTCTTTTTAGTTAACTGGATATTAACCAAATTTAAATGCGATTTTACATTGCCAGTATAATCATAGTTTGTATTCTGGTTCAGTTTACTGAAGATAAACTGAAATAGAAACTATAGAGGTTGAATGAAATCAATGCCATTTCTCTCAAATTTTTTTTAATGAACCATTGATACTAGCTGCTATAGCGCGAAGGAGAATGATCAAAATCGGAAGTGGTCAGATGGCAAACACATAAAATGCCTTTATTACTAGCATCAACCTACTCACTGATGTTGAATTCAGATATGGAAAGGGTGGAATGAACTATAGTGGTAATGACAGTGGGATGCTGTAAAAGTGGTGGTACGACGGAATATGAGAGGTTAAAATTCCCGGTAGAAAACCCCCGGCATGAATACTTCCAGATACCTTACCACTCGTCGTAATAATGCTAAGGCTCGAATGATGAAACCTCCTTAGTTGAAGGTCCTTTAAGAATCCATGGAGTCCTAGGGGGGAATCTTTTAACTCAAAAGCTCCTGTATGTCTTGAATTAGGTTTCAGCATTAGGGCGTAAGTGAAGCAAGAGCGTCCTAGACATCAGGTACTCGTACATGGACCAATCAAAGACACCGATAAGAAAATAAAAACAACTCGATGAAACTGAAGTGTGCGGCTTTTTCGAGTTTTTCCATTCTTCTTCCTTCACTTTCGTTCATATTCACCCAGAGAGGTAAGGTCGACGGCAAGATTGTAACCTGTGGCATGATCCTCGCCTCTGCTAAGATTCAAAACCTAATCTGATATTGACCTGAAAAGATTGTAAGAAGCAACCAAACAGGAGTCTGCTATTCCTCACCTCAGTGCCGAATTAACGCGCGTATACACAAGGTAGGGGGTGAGGATAAAACCTCAGGTTTTAGGAGGTGAGAGGAGTAGACGCCCATGAATAGCAGCGCAACCGAAAGAGGGGGTGGGGTGGGGGTTCATGGGTTTCACACCTCTTCATGATACTTCTTGAGAAATGAAAACCATTCAGGACCTACATCACAGCTCATATGACATTAATATAAATGCCATTTGTGTGCACTGATTTTGGAATCCGATGTGGAATCGAACAAACATCGAGAGTTCCCCCTTCATCCCAATATTTAGACAGCATTTACTGGGTGGGTCGGCCCAGTCTAAAAGTATTCCCCCTTTTAGATGAAGTTGTAGCCCGAGTCTGGGAGTGGAAGAGGCTCTTCGCTTCGAAACTACTTTTAGAATAGATTAAATCCAAATTTCGATAAAGTTTAGAATAAGTTTAGATTTATATTAAGCTTACCAGAGGGGAGGAACAGGCCCCTAGATGCCGGTTTGCAGTGGTTCAGTTAGAAACATGTGCAAGAAGCATTGTTAGGCATGTGGGTACGACCGACAGTGCTATTCAGCATATCATGCGTCACAATGGAGCTCGTGAAGCCATAGAAGGACAGATAAATCGATAGTCTATTTGTACTCATATTCGACTAAATGCATTAAGGGATCATTCTCAGCGATGTGACGGAGCAAGGTGAAGAGCATGAGCAAAAGTGAAAAATCGGTCAGCCTTAGGGGAGAAGCTTAGACGTACTGCCTAAGCTTCTCCCCTAAGGCTGACCGATCATCGAGTTTTTTCTTTCTGTCACTAATTTAGGCCTTGGGTTAACAAGCTAAATAAACACACAGAGAGGATAGAGTTGATTTACAATTGCGCTGACCACGTTAATGAATGTTTCTGTGTCTCCCCCTTCGCAGATGAGGCTGCCAGTTGCCTGCCAATATACCCATTCCTTCACAGGACAATGGAACGAGCTCGAGGAACTTCTGAGATGCCATATGCAAATCTGGAGCTTTGAATGAAGAATCCAACCCTTATGTGCTCAGAACGAGTCACAAGGGACACGATCTTCTTCTTTTTGAGAGCGAGGAGGGGAAAGCAGCAGAATGGTTTTTCCTTCATCCCAGAAAACATTCGTTCATGTCCGAATCGCCTCACTGTTTCTACGATGGAAGTTCCTCAGTGGCACTCCAGCGGTTCTGACAGCTTTACACGATTCATATGAAATTTGGGGAGATTTTTACCTGCATTTTTCACATCCAAGCCAATGCGAAATTATGAACGCCTTTTCCGGGGGATTTCCAATGCCAGGAGCGAACTCATCGCAAGCTATTTCTTCTTGGGTTTGTTTCATTATAATGGTGCACGGAATGGTTTTTTTTTCTGGCATACAATTCATTCATGTATTTCATTTGGGTCTATCACTCTGGAGGAAGGTCCAAGAGCTTGGACTAATTCAGCGCTACGCCGAAGAGGACGACATGCGCCTTTGGCACATGATGCCCCTTGCTCTTGCCTACGTGCCTGACATTGTCACCGCATTTCAAGCGATTAGTCATGCTGCCCAAGAGCAGCTAGAGCAATCTGACAGCTTCTGGAAAGACACGAATATAGGCAACTAGAGCGACAGCAGTTCCTCTTTTCCGGACCCCTGCTTGGAATGTTTTAGACAGATTTGCCAAGGACAAATAATCACAGTGAGGGTTGGCATCGCGCCTTCAGAACAATTCCGCAAACTCATCATCTAAACACTTTTTTCGGATATACCCAGAATAAGAGAAAGTAGACATGCATATGTGATGGCGAAAGAAATCAGATCTTCATCGCAGCAACAATACTGACCTTGGCATTTTTCCACGACAGATACTCTCTGAATTAAATTGCATTCCAGGAATAAGCTATGAGTCAATTTTGATCATAATTGACACATCGTGTTCTTCTGATTCACAGTTTAATTAAGACAGAAGTCGGAAGAGCGGTTCTTCAGAAGTGGACTGTCCATTCCATAAAGTACTCCTCGATTACGTGAGTAATGAAGCCTTTCAGCTTCCTGACCTTCCCATCGATGAGAGGTGAAAAGAAAAATCTACGGACATCCACAGCACACTCGTCAGCCTCTCGCGGCGCACAGAGAACCGCCGACTCGGCTTATCGACGAGGAACTCCATAATGGAAGACGAGCTTGGGCACTAGATGGGTATTGAAGTTATCTCCCCAATGATTTCTCTTCATATCCCCGGAATTGAGCCCCAGGTCGGAAAAAAATTTAGATTTCGGTAGCCCCCCCCCAAAAAAAAAGAATTCGGGTGTGAGGTACGTAACCTTGGCGCGAGGTCGAGTCTCCCCTAATGGACGCTGCTGAGTCTCTCTCCGATCACTATCTTGTCGAAACCCAACTGTGGTCGTACCTAGCCCCGTTTCATTCGAAGAGATCAATCCATTTGCCAGCACGCACCGGTAGAGTTCTATTTAAGGCTCCACTGGAGCGGAACGGCAAGATGACGTGAGAAGAAGTAGACGTAATGCCACACCATACCCCGTCGCTCGGACTTGCATATTTCATTTTCGTACCGATGGGGTCGATCGGCTCGCCGGTTTCTTCAGATGCGATGAACATCGATAGAAAGCCGACTTCACCGGCGAACTACTACTCGACGGCTGCCGTCGAGTAGTACCTATCGGAGGTAACCACTGACTGCAATATCGTGTTCCTTCTCCATTCCCATCGTGCTAACGATCTTTGGATCCTAAGTACTCTGTCTCATTAGCGTTCCCAGGGTGACCATCCGAGAAAGAAAGTGAATTCGATGGCGACGCGAATATGTAGTAGAAAGGCGAGAGGAGAAAGGCGTGCCAGCGGACAAATAGAACCAATGAGAGAAGGCTCTGCAGTTTTGCGCTCGGATGACGTTCGCATGGGTGACGATCGTTAAGCCTACTACGCGCCTCAACGATCGTGAAGTGAGCATTCATGATCCTCCAATCATCATTTGATGTTATTAATGCACACCAACGATCGTTAAATGACTTGAAGGTAATCAAGCCCCTGTTTCCACTTTAATCAATAGCTAATCGTTCACGTGAACCCAATCAATGCAGCACACCGCATCCCTTCAAAATTTCATCCTACTCTGTGCGTTGGTTGAATACGGCTCCAAACCACCAAATTTCATGCGTTAGCCTTATCCGACCAAGGATTCAAAAGTTAAGGCCTTTCAACGTTTCACGAAAGACCCAATTTTCTCTCGATTCTGTAAAACTCGCTAACCTCATTAACTGTCCGATTTAGATCATTTTAACTTGACCAGAACAATTTTTTAACTTATTTATTCTCACAACTCATTCTACCCTTATTCCTCATGAGAATCGTTACCTTTCAGAAGGAAAAATAACTATCTTCATCCTTTTTTCAATGCAAATTTACAATTTCCCTTTAATCGATGCAATTATCAGAGATTCAATGTTTTTAGCTGTTTCTCAATATACCAGAATGTACACGATGGCCCACACCATTACGACCAAAAACGACTATCCCTGTATCTCTCTTGACATTTAACGTTTCTGTCTGGTACTCGAATCTTTTTTTCGTTTCCATTGAGCGATTAACACAGACCTTTCGAAGGATATCCATAATTTGCATTACACATATTTAGAAAGAAAATAAATGAGTAGAACATTCTAGAAGTTGAAAGAAACCATAAATAAGAGATATAAAAGTTAACAAAGGCAGATGGGGAATCCAGTTTCTTTGTAACGTATATGAAACCGGTGTGCGAATCAAGGAGATGACTTATCGAAATAAAGAATGTTCTAATTAGTTGTATATCACAGTGCTTTCAACAAGAAGAGACGGAATTCATCCAAGGAAGCTTAACTGCTCCTCCTTAAATGCTCCTCTAGTATATGCTTTAATATGTTGGTTAATGATAAATGAGAAAGCTCTTCGTTCTCCTTATAATGCTCTTTTCTGTTTACTCGAGGTTGTCATCAAGGTCAAAGTGGTCGAACTTCGATAACTTCCAGAAGGACTACAAAAAGTACTTTGCGTGAAAATAAAAACGTTTGCATTAATTTTTCCGATTAAAATGAATTTCTTACACTTAAATCAGGCAATAAAAAAGAAGCATAATCGATTTTCGACAAGTGTTCGCATAAGGAGGCCCGAAATGGGGAAGATGAGTGAGGTATGCATTCTTCAATGCCTACTGGCCTGAGTTTTACTAGTCTCTGCTTACGGCGGGATCATCATATTGACGAGATTTAGAGCAGTTGCAGGACTCTTCATGCAAAAATTCTTGAGACCGGCATGAAATTCACTCCTCTTCTCTTCCTCACGCGTCTTTACATTTCATTGATAGCAATTATCAAGATCTAAAATGCTCAAAATATTGAGGGAAATGAAGAAATTGCTCAGGATACGGGAAAGGGATGCATGAAAAGCCAGGGCAGCAGTCGCATCAATTACTGTCTTCAGGCTACCCAATCGTAGCTTGAATTCTGCCTGAAATGTGTGTCTCAGAGTAGAGGATACAAGAAAATGAAATCAAATCGTGCTTTTTGCTTCTTTTTTTTTGTCTAGTTTTTGGAGAACAGCGCGTCGGACTATGACGATGGAAACGACAGGGTTCTTTCCCACGATCAGAAGACAACTGAAAGGGGTGAGATAGGCTGGAAATAGAACGAACCCCTCTGGACGATTTTCCGGCAGAGCGAGGAGGAGACGTTTCCCAGATGCGGCATTAATTTCTGATCACAGTCCACGGCTTCGATGTATGTGGCCGTGAACGGATCCGCACAACCGGGATCCCGCTTCGAGTTGCATTCGTAGCACCGAATCCCTGTGCCTATCGTTAGGATAAATGGGTCAAAGGGAGATGACGGAGTTTGTTTATTTCCGACACCATTTGTATGTGCGAGAAACAGGAGGTGAATGCGACTCACATGAGGAGAGAAGAGAAAAGAAGACTAGGAGGAAGGAGAAGGAGCAGAAAACTTGCTCCATGTTGGACATTCACTCACACAGCCGGAGAGACAGAGGAGAGGGGGAGAACTTGCACTAGAAATATGGCTGCCTCCGTCCATCGATCCCCATCGATCTACGCGACCCCCTCGGAGCGGAGAGAAGGGATAAGCATATAAATCCTTCCTAATCCCCCTCGATCACGTATTATTTCCGATCCTACGAATCTTTTATTTGAATGTCCCCCTTCTAAATCGCATACAGTTCGTTTTAAGCTACTGGGCTAACCCACCCGTCCTCGTGAATAGGAGGATACAAAACTTACAAGCAGGCAGTCTTCTCTTTCATCGCTTCGGAGAGATAACACTCGAATATCCAGAATTAAAGCGCCCGTTATATTGTCCCTGCGTAAGAAATGCATCAAACAAAAATTATAACCAGTAAAAATTAGTAAATTAATATTTTTAAAAAGTATAATCATAAAATTATACTTGCGAAAATGATAATACGTAAGTTATTGCTATTTGGGCCAGCGATGCTGCTACTTGAGCTGCAGGAACTTGAAACAAAAGCTTTCGATCATATGGCAACCGCAGTCAAGTCAAAAACAGAAACAACACGATATTTTAGCCTAGCTCCCATTGGTCTCGTAGGGAAAGGTGGTTTCCAAAAGTGACTTGTCGCACGGAAATCAATTTCGCCTTCTTCTCCACCGTTGAAAAATCACATGGTATTGTCAAGAAATAGAAAACCGAAGAAGGCCTAAAGTGCATGCTGATGATCAAAGGGGGGTTTTCAGAGTTGAAAATTAGGATCATAGATGCTATGAACGCTTTCTCGAAGGAGGAAGTTGGGCAGATGACACAAAACCGTTTTTTTTATATCCCCATTGGTTGGCAGCAGCAAACCGTGCTTACTCAATGGCAGGGCCGCCTAGAGGTTTCCAGGGGTCCGGAGCAAAACGAAACCGGAGACTCCTTCGGAGCCCCCTTGAGGCCTTTTGGAGGCCCCCTTGGAGCCCCTTGATACGCAGGGTCCGGGGCAGATTGCCCCGATTCAATCGAGAACGAAACATCAACATCTAAAAGGCCTTCCAGGCCTTGATATAGAGAACTTCTAAAACTGAGGAATGTAGAAAGTCCTCTCCGTTAGACGACAGGAGTTGGGGCGACAACCGAGAATTGGACCCCAACCGAGAGCAGAGGCGTAAATTGGCCCATGAGCATAGGGGGGCAAATAACATGATGGGGACTGCCAAGGCCAGTGGGGGGTTCTGAGAAAAGGTTCTCAGGTGCGAGAAAAATACCTCCGAGGGGGTGCTAGGTTGGGTCGAGGCCTTTCAAGGGCTGCCAGGGGAGGCGGCCGCCCAGTCTGCACCACCTCCCCGCGAAGGACGTCCCTGACTTAGAAAGGACACATGATGAGGAGATCTAGGCATCCATCTAGTGACAATTCACAACAGTGTATACTGTAGGGTGACCAGACTCCCGGTTTTTCAGGCTATGTCCCGGTTTGAATTTTCCTTTCCATCCTGGTGCCTCCCCCCATTGCAGGGAACAACATTCCGGCATTTTCTTGAAAATGTTCCGGTTTTCCTGAAAAAAAATCTGGCCACACTAGTATATTGCATGTCATCCATAGCCAACATGCTGGTCCTTACCCCCGAGCTCATAATAAAAACATTGCTGACGTAGATAGATATGGAGTGATTCAACGCGGTATAATTGCATTACCAATGAATACACCATTTAACCAAGGCCAATGAACAGCGGCGCAACCAGCTCTAAAGTTTGAGGGGGGGTTCGGGAAAGTTCTAATGACTTGTCTTTCAAATTTCTCCGAATGCAAGAAGGCGTTATCAAATCATCAAGATATATATTCTCAATAACAAAAACGCGAAACGACGTCGTACACGCAAACATTTACGCATTTAAATTCCGTTTTCGCAATTTATAAGATGTTTATCTTATAAATTGCGAAAACGGAATTTAAACAGTAAATGATTTCCCAAATATTTGAGATATCTGGGGAAAATATATACAATTAGACTAAATTAATTTCAGGATTCAGCCCAGATTTCACTGCGCAGACATGCAACTGGAAATTCGTTAATCTGTACGTGATTCATCCCGTTCATCCGAGTCGTCGTCCTTGCGCTTTCGGAAAAAAATTCAGCAGCGTCAGCGTCAAAAATTCAGCGACGCTTCCTTGAAATTTTCATTTTATTACAACGGGTAGCCACATGTGAATGACGTAACCTTCACCTTCCACCTCCCATTTTTGTCCCTTTCTAACCTCGCTCTCAGGTCGTTTGCTCATGATAACATCTTTCTGCGCCCCCTACCCTAGGGGGAAAAGGGGATGGAGGAACAAAGAGATACTGAACGCATTCAGTTGTGATCCAGGCTATGACGCAAGTCATGGCACGAAGCACTGAATGCATCGAGTGATGATGCAGAGGCCCTCTCAATTTTTCTTTGAGATGTCACTTTGGTGTTGAAAATTGTTTATTGCTAGCTGAGGTGACTGCTATACTTGAGTGGCATCACTGGCACCATGATGCAAACTCTTGCATCATGAGCATCCCAGAGTGGTAATATTTAGCTTGAAAGCATTTTGTACCCCTTCATCTATTTCCATTTTCAACTAGCTCTGTTGTCGCTACTACTCAGGAAGGTATTTAAACTTCACTTTCCATACTGGAAAAATGACCCAATGCGTCCAGAAACTTGTGTCAAATGTCCGAGCGGGCTATGCCCTGAGTCATGACCCACCCTGTTAAATCAAGTCACAACTGAATGCACCCATAATTATGAGCAGGGGTACTATTAACGCCTACTACTGTATATTCTCGTCTATTGCCCTCCTCTCGTTCAAACACTTCTCTCTCTCTCTCTCTCTCTCCCATTGAATTATGGAATAAAAAAGAATCCCACGATCAATTCAAAAAGATGCTGTAGAAATCACCAGTCACTCCCCTAGGAGGTAAAGTTACGCTTGCTGCATTTTCCCCGACACTAGATGTAGCTCTTGTTGCTGTTTGTGTCATCTCAACATTGAAAGCAAACGGAAGCCGACCTACCCTGGCTCTATCGACCATCCACTACTGCCGAAAGCGACAAGCCGCTTATGCCCCGAAGGGACATACTCCAAATAGTCCGTACACGGTGACCTCACCGAGTTGCGAATACATTCGAAAATCGAGCACTCGAGCGCAAACGGTTCTGATGTGCTTCTCCAAAGGTATTCCCCGGGCGGAATGAGGTCGTCGGGATGAAACGGCTATCTTTGGTCCTAATTCGGCCCGAAACGTGCTTTTGGATTCTAATTAAAGCCGAAATATAATCAACTCGGACTCATTCCGTGAACGAGTCTGTTTTTGTTTTGTTTTTTGTTTAAAAAAAAAAAAATTCTTGCTGCACGTTTTCAAAAATGTTTTTAAGGGGAAGGGGAACTTAAGAGGCCGTTCGACAAAATACCGTCATACCAGAAACCGAAGCCGTGGCTACGCGACCGAGCGTAACGTCTGTCGGCTCGTTTTATACCTGGTGCTACGGTTCCGGACGAAGCGAGAGCTCGGAGTCTCCGTCCGCGAAGAAAGGATCGTCTGCACGCGGGCGACGGCGATGAGCTCGGGAACGCAGAGGTCTCTACAAAGGATGAAGCAAGTAGCAGCCCTTCATCTCACTCTCAAACATTTCCATGAAGGAAAGTCAGGAAGAGGAAGGTCAGGGTACTTACGAATCGAGGACTTTCACAATTGTCATGCAATTTATAGAAATCTGGGGTGGGGAAGGGAACTTTTTCAAAGTAGACTTCAAGCAGAAGATTCCGTTAAGTAGAGGAGTGATTAGATGAATCATCACTTATAATGCAACAACTCCGCCTTACACCTGTATAACTGTCATATCTGAAATAAATTTTTCATAAGTGCCTTTGAAATAAGGGGTTTCCCACCCCGAACTTCCCTTGCTCGCATGGCCATGTTCATGGCGATAAGTTGAATACTGAATTAAACTGACTTGGTTAATCGCTTACTGGGCATGAAGAAATTATGCGCTGTCCCGCATGTTTACGTGCTGAAAACGCTTCGTAGATGTTACTATTTGGACAAGAAAAAGAGATCGGTAGTGGAGCGACTTAAAAAAAAAAACAAAACTGCATTAAGGTTTCATGTACTTCTGCAATTCCCTATTTACACTCGTAGTATTACCTGTTGTCCTTTAATTGATGTTTCATCATGGTTCTTATTATCATGACCGTGGTATAATCGAGATTGTACACTTAACCCAGTTCCTCTTGATTTCTGTTTGTGTTTTCGTTGTGTTTCGTTCCATTGTGTTTTCGTTCATTTTTTCATAAGGCTGCTTGTCTTTTTATTTATATTTTCTCTTGCTCAGCATGTAACTACATCAATTTCCTCCACTCTAATCCACCAAAGTGGGAATATCGGTATTTCATTTGAAAACAATGACCACCACCATTCATCGGTTTCCATAAGCGACACGTACTATTCTTCCATCCAAATGCATGGTATGAGTTATGAAGGCGCATTGAATATTTTACTTTCGTAAAAAGAGGAATCCAAGCAAAAGTGAGGAGAGACAGGTGTTTCAAGAGGAAAGAAGACGATCGACGCAAATACGTACAAATTGAGAGAAGCCGTAATCTCGGTTGGAGGGAAACAAGCACACTTTACAACTCCATGGTTAAATCATAAAAATATTCACGAGAGAGGAGTTAGAACGGGAAGAGGCCAGTAGACAGGAATAGAAATTAATAGACTAATAGTAAAAATAATCATTGGTCGTATGAAACAGAAATGCATTCCTAGTCCAGTGGCTCAGCAGTCAAAATTGTCAAGAAAGAGATATGCTTGAACGGGAAGAGGTCTATAGACGAGAATAGACATTAATAATCGCAATAGTCATGGTAAGAGGGAAAAAGAGAGACGTCCTTGGTCCAACGATAAAAATGTTCAGGTGAGGAAAGTGCTTGAAAGTGAAATATGCACATGGAACATGGAATACGGAAAAGGGGAAGAGGTGTGAAATTGTGATAATTTCGAGCTTTTCTACTTACCTAACCTAAGGACCTACCCCAAGAAGTGCTTCTGTACCGATTAAGGAATTTGTGGGATATTTTCCCTTTAATTTTACATTGTTGAGAAATCACCACTCCGCGAGTCATGCACATGTACAAATTAGGTAGGTGCTCGTTAAAAATAATCTTCATAATATAGAGCAACTTGTTTTCATTTTCCAATGACAACAGTTTGAATAACCTTTCCATTTCCAAAATCGACTCAACTGTGAAAATTACGAAGCATTCTGAATTACCGCACCTGAGAGACGAACTAATTGTTCCCTCCCACCTGTTGCTTCCTAGTCAAATGATCATCTTCTAAGACCGGAACAGATGTCAGGGCGGGAGCCTGCCCACCGCCACCTGTTGTTCAAGAGACGAGTCTCATCAGGCGATGGCGCGAAGGAAGAGGAACCATGGAGCACTACGTTTATTTTCCTTTGGGAGAAACAAGCGCCTGGAGCAGTTGCAGTTTTGATTTTAGTGGAATTGCGGCATCCGATTGGACACTGTTTCACATATCTATTCCTTTATCTGCCCTTGTCATTCCTTTACCTCTTCCCTTTTATACCGTCGTACGATTTTCACAAATAATGCCTGAAGTCGTGACTAGGCCTATCATAGGCCAATTTGTAGTATGAATGCGTACGCTATTGCTAGCTTGCTGCTCAGTCACAGTCCAGGTTTAAGCCGTAGATGAAATACAGAATAGCCTAGGTCTACATCTAGCCTGCCAAAATGTAGTCGCGAGCTAGGCCTGAGCCTATAAACTTGTCGAATACAATGCTAGAGCGTAACGTTTGGCTAGCCTATGATTAGAGTAGAGCTGGATCGTGCTTGAAACAATAGAACAGTTTATGCAGGGTATCAAGAGCCCCATCCCTGCTCCCCAGTTGCCTTATGTCACCTGGAGACCGTGCTTCCACTTATTGTAACCCCTGAGAAATCAATATCACAAACCTTCCCAGCTTTTATTGCCTCTGTGCTTCCATTTCTCAGAAATGCTACACCTTGAACATCCCAACAATGGACTTATGTCCATTCTTGATATTTTATCCTCACTCATTCTCAGTAATGAATGTGCCAGGCTGTGTGTTTGACAAATTTGAGTGTGATAAGAAATAAAAGTCACAAATGATGACAGAATGCCAAATCAGCTAAATTTTCCTTCTTGAAGCATTTTAAAGTAAGGAGCAGTTGGATTCATTTTCACAGAACTAATCATTTGGCTCCAGTCAAGTGATAAATGTGCTCCATCCACTTTCATGAGTGACTTCAGATGGAAACCTGTTCAATCTTGTTTAACCCACTCACTGGCATGTTTTCAGACAAATTGGCTGAATGATGAGACCAGCTTGTCCATGCCAGTAAAGGGGTTAATGTGCAGCCCATCATTGTCATGGCACAACTCAATGCAAGGCCATGTTCTCTTGGCTATCTTTTCACTTTGTCTAAGTTATTTTAATAAAAGCTGCTGATACTGCTGTTTTGAGTTGGTTAACTGTCTGATAATGCTGTTTTGACACATGTCCTTTGATAAACCCCCATAAACACAGAAAAGTAATTTTTTGTATATTGAAGGGACTTTGTGCCCACCCTGTAGGTGTAGAAGTCTTTGATAACTGGACACAACTAATGAAGAAACTTTCAACAACACCTCAGCCTAGTAATAAGAGTAACCATTAGACAACTTTGGTATTTTCAGCAAAAGTCCTACGACCCTGTTGTCTAACTATCGATTGCTGGTAGATTTTTGTTTTTTACCTGATGTTAACTTGGAATGATGTATATGCATGTAACTTATGCCTGTGACAGTTGCACAGTTGGGAGGTGGTTCTGTTGAAGAATGAGTGATTCAGATAAGGAAGATCTGTTCTATGCCCCTGCAAAAGGCTTGTCAGCAGATGCAGAAGCTCTGTCTGTCTTGGAAGGTCAATATGTACTCCATCAGACCATTGGTAGTGGGGGTTTTGCCAAAGTGAAGTTGGGAACCCATATCCTCACAGGAGAAAGAGTTGCCATCAAGATCATGGACAAACATCAACTTGGTGTAAGTGAAATTTTCAGAACTCAGTATGCCAATTCCCTTGGAGCTCAATCTTATGATGCCCTAGCCTCAATTCTTTGCTTTGTAGCATGATCTCCCAAGGGCCTACTTGGAAGTTAGAGCATTGAAAGTTTTGTGTCATCAACACATTTGCAAGCTGTATCAGGTCATTGAGACCACCAACAAAATCATTCTCATTCTGGAATACTGCCCTGGAGGAGAACTGTTTGACTACATAGGTCTGTGGAATATTGTTAAACCTATCATTTAACCTGGTAACCTATTCATTGATCTTAGAGCTGTTAGCTTGTCTGACTGTGATGTTTCTCCTTTGTAGTATCAAAGGATCGCCTAGATGAGGAAGAAGCAAGGTTTTTTTTTAGGCAAATTGTAGCAGCTGTTGCATACATTCACAGTCAGGGATTTGCACACAGGGACTTAAAGCCTGTAAGTCTCTCATAAATCCTTTGTCTGACTGATGCAGACCCCAATATGTTAGTTCTTTATACTGATATTTAAAACATGTGTGAGCAGGAGAACATGTTATTGGATGAGGAGAATCGTGTGAAGCTGATTGATTTTGGGCTGTGTGCTCAACCTGAGGGTGGCATGAACTGTCCTTTGGAAACATGCTGTGGGTCTCCAGCCTATGCAGCACCTGAGTTGATCAGAGGTTCAGTCTACCTTGGGGCTGAAGCAGATGTCTGGAGTCTAGGTGTCCTTCTGTATGCCCTGCTTTGTGGGTATGTCCCAGGAAAAGAATTTCCAGTACCTCTAGGAGCTATTGAAACTTTAAATGTTTTTCCCATTCCATTCCCTGGCAATCTTCATGCAGGTTTCTTCCCTTTGATGATGATCATATTCCATCCCTTTATCAGAAGATTCAAATTGGCATGTATGAGAAACCTAATTGGCTGTCCCCTGGTGCTGTAGCACTAATTGACAGCATGCTTCAGACTACCCCAATCAGGCGCATCACCGTGAGACAGCTGGTAAGATGTAGGCAGTTCTTGTATTGCCTTGTTCTTTGTGAAAATCAGACTTCGTAATTTTCTTTTTTGACTATGTTCTCATTTTTGTACCACAGCTCCATCACCCATGGCTAAGGACAAATCCAAGTGGGTTTCTTTTGGGCCCCATCCAATATGAGAGTAATTACCAGCTGATTGTCCTTGATGAGGAGGTTCTTGAAGAGATGAGCCTTGTTCTTAGTATGAGTCCCACTGCAGTAAAAGAGGAGATTCTACACTGGAAATATGATTATGTTACTGCTCTCTACTTCATGCTTATGCATCGCAAGATACACCATCGACCCCTCCACCTCCGCCCACATTCAGAATACATTCATACAGTGAGATGTTTAGTGATTAATTATTTGTTAGATGTGCAAGGGTTAAGAAGATACTGATCAGTATGTCCTTTGGTACTTCATCAGGGGATGAGAGGGGCAGAATCACTGGATGCCCTTGATATCCGGAAGTTGCAGAAGGATGAGAAAGAGAACAAGTATCCATTCCTTCTACCAGTTACTCCAGCCAAGGCAAAGTCTCAGCAGACTGAACGAGGTCAATCCAATTAATTAATAGTAATGAAAATGATCATATCAATATTTTTTGCCTTTGGGATCTCTTCCTGAGCTTATGTGGGAAGGATTGCAGTGTGAGGTAAGATATTGTAATGCATATTTAAGGAGTTGATCCAGTGCCTTAGCAGAAGCACTGACATGTGATAAATGTGGACTTTTGGCTTACCATCCATAGTTCTCATACAGTTTCATAGTTTTCATACAGGCAGTTCATCTCTCTAAAAGGCACCTTTGATTGGTGAGCATGGTTCCTAACCTGGGTTAACGCAGAGAGGAAACCCAATCAAATAGGTGTGAGCTTGTGTTCAACAGAATTCCACATAGGCTGGTTTTAATAAGTCTTGATGTCTTTCATGATATATCAGTCCTGGTTCCTTTCTGAAAGCCATCACAGAGGGACAACATGACACTGAAATTACTTTTCTACAAGTTTTAAAAGTTTCTAAGCTTGAGTCACTTGGGTTGAAAATCAAATCCAAATTGAAAAGACTTTTACTTACCGGGTCAGGACCTTGTTTGTAATTGTGAGTGCCTTAAAGTAGCTGACTAATAAATCCTAGTACTATTGGGGCTCATCAATGAAGCTAAGTAATAGGTGGTATGCAATGGTCAAAATATGTCAAGATGTGAGGAAATGGTTGTGATCAGGGTAGGATCATGTCTATAGTGCTCAGGTTCTTTCTTTGAAGTGAGAAGTTGGAATCTTGTGATATATCTCAAAAGTGGTGCATGAAGTCTAGGGGGGTAGGATGCCTTACATATCAAGGGAAGGGTGTAAATATCGATCTGCTGATTTTGTGTCATATGCCTTGTTATAGTGTTTTTTTTTTTGCTTTATCCTAATTGTTTCTTTTTATGATGTCATAGAGTCAGGTGGAGTCCGAATGTCCCCTGGATTATCCATGGACAGCCGATTAAATGAGCTGATGGATGACCAGCTGACTATGCCAACAAGGATGGGAAAGGAAATGAAGAAAAAGGGGACTGGAGTTCGCATTGGAAGGAGCATTGAGAAGGGATTAGATCGCATGAAAAACATGCTCACCCCATCCAAGAAACAGTCCACCCCTTCTGGTCCAACTACTGTCAAGGTTTTGCTTTATCTTCTGGACCAAGCACCTACTTACTCACTATGATGAAATAACTGGAATCAGCATGGAATTTTTTTACACTAGGCACTGCAAAATGTTTCAACCACCAGCAGTTCTGATCCAGACCAAATCCTTCGCACACTGCTCCTAGGGTTGATAGAAAAGGGGATCTCCTGCAAGCAGCATGGGTTAGTTCTCAGTGTACCGATGGCTGATTATGGTCTCATGACTGTTTACAGCTGCTAATGCTGGTGTCATTTGTAAAAAAAAAATGCAGTTATAGCTGCATAATCATGCATGAGAAAACAAAATAAGTTTTGCCCTTGGAGGCAGGTGCCGTGATGTGAGGAGAAAGCTGGCCAGTAACACAGGCTAAAAGAAATAGAATGTGGCCATGAGAGAGGTCACACTTACATGAAGAATCCAATCCTTTTTATTTTTCTTAGGATATTAGCATTGGTTGCCTGGAAACCTACCATTGGCCTCTATGTAACATTGTTGGTTGATACTGATGGATTGTGGTGCATCATTGTTCCCACATATACTTCACAATTAGTCAAGAGCCCCCAGTTCCTACTCCCAACACATTCTAGATAAGGCTCTTCCCAATGTCACACAAACTCTGCATCATCTCACATTACATGTTGACAGGCTGTCTGATGAATGTGCTCAAATTTAACAATAACATTGCATTTCAGTTCTTAGCACATTAGTTGACATGCACCATACCCCATTCAAAATAATTCTTTATCAGTTTTGACATCTCTTGAGGCCACCTACATATATAGTCCTCTCTGTATGCCCTGTTTTCTCAACAGACTTTCTGGGATATTTTACTGTCAGTAATTGAATTTATGATAATTTTATATATCTCCCAGCATGTTTTACATTGAAAGCCACTTTATTTCTTACAGTCTCTGGCCAGATGGTGAGGCACATGCATTTTTTAAATGATCTCATATAAATATTTCATTTCATGTAAAAGGGCACAGACTCTTGTTCTTTGGGTTGATGAAAGACACTCCTGCACTATTCAGGAAGAAAAGCAAATTTATTTTTTTTGCTCATTTCATTACTGCTGCCAAGAATTTGACAGGCTGGGTATAATGTAGCCCTTACCTTTAACCTGTTAACTGGGTATGATGAGTATACTTGTTATGGTCATTCACCTGCATGGTGCAAATGACAAGTGTGCTCATCATTCCTTTTCTGATCATTTCTTGTCCGTGGTCAGGGGAGAGTGTGACCATCATGAGGGGTAATAAAGCCATTGATGCCTCCAACTATCAATGATATCTATTGAGGTATTGTGTGTCAGCCTTATATTTTTCCTATTGACACTAAGAATCATTTATCAAGCCATGTTTGTTTTAATTTTGTTATTATTTTCTCTATTTGGCACATTATTTTTTGGACCTTAGCATTGGCAGCTTGTAATGCCAATGGATATTGGCACCACACTAGTTGTTATCAATGCTTCGGTACATTCCTTATCTTTGTTCTGTGGATCTGGATGAATGCAATTACTTTCTGGAAATCACTCCCTAACAATGGACTTGATGAGATCTGGGAATACATTTGTTTGCACACTGAGCAGAGAGTTTTTATTATATACTATGAACTAGGTTGGAATTTTTTTGTGTTTTTTTTTAGCAATTTGCTTTTTGTATGTCATGCTTGCCTAAATTGTGCATTTGGAACCCTTAAATCTTGGGAGGTAGTTCTGGATTATCTATTACTCATAAATAAATGGTGCTTATTGGGAACCATTGCAAACTTCACTGAGAAGCTAAAAAATTGTTTTAAAAAATAGATTCAGGCTACTGAATAAAAAAAATTGAGTTTTTAAACAATCTAAATTTTTTTTTTATTGCCAACCCTGATTTTTCAGTTTTTATTTATGCTGTGCTATGCAGGTACAAAGTGAGGGGGAAAGCTGATGGTGGAAGAATGAGCTTTGAGCTGGAAGTGGTGCGTATCCCTGGATATAAAGTGGTTGGTATCAAGCGAAAGCGTCTCAATGGAGATGCCTGGTGCTACAAGAAAGTCTGTGAGCAAGTACTGGCTCTCACTGGCTCAATTCATGATTCCTCCTAGATTCCATGTTCAACATGCTGTGCTTGTACACATCATATGAATTTCTCCCAAGTGCTTTTCCATGTTTATTTTATGAAGGCAGGGTTACCAGCAGGGATACCATATATCAGCCTTTTTTTTATGAATGGAAAGATTTCATCACGTATAGTACTGACGTAATAAAAAAAAGGGTTTTCATGTCTTTTCATCTTCATGTCGGAGTTTCTGTTCAAATTTTTCAAATTCCTTATGGGCAATGTTGTCGACCTCATCCTGGACCTCCTCAACTCCAAGGACTTCAGGGATGTAGAACTGAAGCATGTTTTGAACTCCAGATTTCAGGGTTACAAGGGAGCTTGAACAGCCAACACAGGATCCCTGAAGCTTCAGCTTCACAATTCCATTCTTAAAGCCCTGCAAGACAAAGCATTGTTTTTGTAGAAACCCACTGCATTTCCATGAGGATCAAGCTGGTGTGCATACTCTATAGACAATGTCTCCACCATCTTCCTGCACCACTGGGCGAATGCGAGTGTCCAGGAGTTCCTTAATTAGGATCACTGTTTCATCATCATCTCCCTCGATCTCTGCCCATCACAGCATGAGTCAAGTTATATTAAAAAATTGAAATTCTACTTAGGCTTAAACTGACAGAAGGAAGACGTTACGTGTATCAGGTGATGGAAGTTCCCCTGTAACAATAGGAAGCCCTGAAGAAAAGAAATCCATAATAGTTGCAAATATCTCTGGTTTCAGGACTGACCACTCCATCTCATCATCAACCTGAATTATAAGGATGCAGTCAGTCATGGCACATTTTCATAAACAAATATTGCAAATATAAGAAAATGTATTGAGATTTGCTAAAAATAAAGTAATGCTAACTAGTGGGAAAAGGATTTATTAAATGACTCTGCTAGGATAATTAAGAAAGAGCATTCCTTCCATAAGTAGAATAGGAAGAGAGCACCTTCTTTAACCATCAGGACGAAAGGAAATGAGTTTCAAGGAGAGATCACTCTAAAATAAACTAATGGTTACCTCCAGACCATGACTAGTTTCAGGCATGTTGGTAACCTGGATTATACCATTATATCTTGCATCTTAAAAACAAAAATACCTTGGTGACAGTGACAAAAGTAGGGCCAAGGAAAACAGCCTTCACACCATCAATGCGGAACAGCTGTCTTGCAAGAGGCGAAACGTGAGCCTCACCAGGACTCTGGAAATCCAATGTCCCCGACTCCAGTACCTTCGTCAATTAATAACATTTCTGAGTTATTGTAAAACTGACACTTCACTGCAGGGGTCTCAAACTCGTTCCGGTGTGCGAGTCGCATCGCCAAGATCGGACCCCTCTGCAGACCAAAATGTAAAATCGTGGCATTATCTACCACTACCGTATACTGTGTATATTGAACCTGAGACGTTTCTCTCTCGGTATACCCAGGTGGGTCGCGGGCGGCGAGTTTGAGACCCCTGCTCTGCTGTCTGTCTGAAGCCAAGAGCTGTAAATGTGTCATTTTTAGAGATGGATAGATAAGAAAATACAGGTCAACTTCAGAGTTACAATTCTGCTTCATCAGATACGTTCGATACTGATAACCTATGCAACTTTTTCTGATCTGCCTGATGCATTTTTTTAATTACTGAGTATAAGGAATGTAAAAATATCTTCAGATTCCTATCTCAGTTGGACTGATGTCGATCATCTTATTTTTCAATGTGGAAAATAAACTTCTAAAAAATCACAGCGAATTAAACCAAATCAATGAAATATGTATGAATTCCACGATGCCGTTTAGCTAAAAGGGAAAAAAATTAAGGAAAACGCTTTTACTATTCAATGCAAAATTCCCCAATGGTGTAACTATAGCTTAGGCTTACCCTAGCTTAATGGTGCATTTTACAATTTGATATCTTCCACAATCAGGTCTGTGTCAGCTATGCCACGCACCCACGCTCATCCTGTAGGCCTTACAGGACACGGTAGGGAATGAGTTTCAGCTTCAATCTTTCACTTTTGCGTCTGACAACATCGAATGGGTTTCAAGAGTACCTCTTGTGCCCACACACCTTCCCTGTGCACACCATGCACCTTGCAGCCCCCTCTCTTCATCCTTGTACCATGCACCTGGCAGTGGAGTCACATGCCTGAGAGTATTCGCGTTCATGAGTCCAGTCTTCCTCCCGCGTGAGGAAGTGAGACTCCAGAGACGGAATCGAGACTTTATCCTGTACCGATCGAATAACTCCTGGGAGTCGTAACTATTCGAGTTATCTGAGAACACTTGGCCTGCAATAAGCCTTAACCCTTGGAGGCACGCAATGCGATTTCGAAGTTTAATGCGGATTTAACGGAATGCAGCTGTTATAAAGTTTAAGCAGTGTTCTTCCATTTTATGCAAAGAGTTGCGAAAGTTGCTAGATGGCTCATGAAACTACTCTTGAGGGGTGGTCACATGTTTCGACCGTCGTTCCTCGGGCTTAAAGTACGCAATTAAAAGGTGGTTAGACAATCCGACCACTCTGACTGAAAGGGTTAAGAAAGTTAAGGGTACGGTGGTTACGATGCGGAAAGTGAAATCTTAACCAACGGAAACATTCATGTTGACAGCCTTAGGATAAGAGAAGAGAAAATCTGGCGCTCACTCAGTACCGTACTGCCATACGCTTATATCCGCTTTAACGGTCGGTATTACACACGCAGACGTGTGCTCCGCTGGGTGATAATCCAAGGATAAAGATAGGGGACTCGAAGTACACAGCCTTTGGGTCTGATGAGGCGTTTCTGCTGGCTAGTTGCTCAGCCACAACATTTTATTAATCTCTATTACCTCTTAGGTATCATCTGCCGATACTTGATTCTGTATCGATCCCATCCCTTGTCGCTTTACCTTGTGTGAATATTCAGTGTGTATTATAATAAAGCAGTAGTTCATTGAAAAGTCTGACATGTTTCTACCAAAATGCTAAATTCAACAGGGCCAATTGACGAATCTAAACAAGTTGTTTGCTGGATCATATCAGATGATGTAATTATAGAACAAATAATATGCAAATAGGTAGAAGCAAGAAAGTGTGACAGACTTTGACCCCAGGATGGAACTTGAGGCTGTTGGGATTGGGAGTGTCTTGAGTTTGGATGAACATGGAGCGACTGGAGGGATAAGAAAGGCCAGGGAACAGATGACATGAACCCACCACCCTCCTCTCCATCAGACCCACCATTCCCAAAGTCACTCTCCTGACTAGGTTCATCCTTTCTTCCTTATTTCTGAGTTCTTTTTGTGTAGCACTCTAGAGATTCAAAGGGGATCAGATTCTACATAAATACATCAAGCAGTAATTGAAATACTAGTGACTGATATACAACTGGAAAAGTGAATAACAAAAATAGTCATCAAGTTTATTGAACTCCGTATTCCATCATACAGAATACGTCCAGAAAGAAGTATAATCCAAGTCTACCAGCACGTATTTAAGTGTAATGCCATCCCATGATTGCTTCAAGAAGTTTCTTTTCTTAACCTTTTGAGCGTTATGGCCGTGCGCTCCCTGTCCCGCAGGAGTATGGCCGTACCCGTACGTCCTGCATCTTCGAATTCAAATTGCCACATTTGTGTCGATGCAGTCAGTTTGAGCTTAAATTTGGAGGTTCCCGAATAAGTCAGTACCGCCATCTTCAAGCTAGTACAGAAAGTAACAGAAAAAAACTAACTTTGGGGCGGTTCGTGAGAGGGTTTTCAGTGACAGATGCTTGCTCCATTTCGAAAATTAAGCGGAAGGAGGTATGCTCTCAATTTTCAATGACAAATCTGGAAAGCCCTGGAACTGGCAAAAAAACTGATGACAAAACGTCTCACGTTTAATGTGGTGGACCAAAAGCGGTTTTAGCCAAGAGGGATTACATGACAAACTCCCCCACAGGAAATGAGAAGGAAAGGGGGCTTAAATCAATTACTTCTTCCGTATGTCATCTCTTTTATATTTGATCAATTCCGTCTCGGAACTTTTCTCCAATTTCGTGTTATTTCTTAGCGGGGGGCAGTTTCTTCTGCATAGAATAGACATTCCGATGGTTACAGCAATTTACTACGGTAGAGGTCGCACTCAGAATAAGTGCCACATTTGCAAGCATTCCGCACGAAAACCAAGCCAGAGAAAAGACACCAGATATACACGTATGTGCTTGGAATGTGGTGTAGCTCTTCGCATTGACCCTTGCTTCAGGGAAAACCACACCCTGAAGAACCACTGATTACCCAAGATTACTAATGTTGAATTTAAGTTATTAAGTAAGGTCAGAGCTGGAATCCGTCCGCAAAAAAAGCTCACTCCTGGGGGCACGCAGTCTAAAAAATCTCACCGCTCAAAGGGTTAAAACAAATTAAGCACTTCAACTTTGATAGAGGGGGGCACATGCAGGCAAACAATAGAAGTAAATGATATACCCCTCCCAGGATAATGAAATAAAAACTTTGAGGTTATGGAATTCTTCAGTACTCTGTATTTCAATTACAAATGGCAGTAAAATGGCAATTCCTTAAATTAGTAATTTATCCACCACTGATATCACATTCACTTATCAACTCATTATAATCTTCTTAACATGGAAACACAATACACTGCATTAAAAATTGCTTGTTTCAATTTTCTGCTGTGGAGGTAGGGATTTTGCTGGGCAGAGATGCCTCTGATTTACCTTTCAATCTATGCACACACAGATACACAATCCACATTTATTTATTGTAACAGAACAACTGCAATGAGTTCATTTCTAATTGGTAAACTGCCACAGGTATTATAAGCAGGAAAAAAAAAACCATTGCACAAGTTGATGAGATTTTAAAACCGAACAAAAACTCCACTGCAATCAGAGACACTTACTTCTTACTAGCAAGATCGTGAAATGAAAACTGCAGTATCTGATTTAATAAAATCGAGATTCCCAAAGATATGAGAGAATGGAAAACAGATCACTAACATTCGCATGATTTCAAAATCATTGGTCTTCGTGGAGTACTAAAAAGTTCTGGCAGCAATGTTCATCAAATTTTACTCATAAATGTTCAATCTCTAACACCCCTGGTTTGAAAAGTAGATGTCATATTTCAAATTGCCAATCAAACATTCCTCTAGAACATTACATGCCAAGGGTCTATTGGGACTGCCATACTGAATGGAAGCAGGCATGGGCTCTGGCAGCCCTACAGGATCCCCAGAGATGTTCACACTTTCATGCCCTTATGGCTGCTCAGTCAAAAGAATACTCCTTTCCAAGAAAAAACTCCCTCATCCTTGTGTCTGCTTGGCCGGTATAGTCCCTTCTTCCCCCAAAATTTTCACTCATCATACCATTCCACAATCATAGGAGAGAGCATATCACAGAAAAATACAGCTTTTTTAGTGTGATGCAAGTTGCCACTCTCATGGAATGGGAAAAAAGTAATAAAAATTTAAAAAACTAACTTGACAGACAGAGTGTAGAGACGAGAGTTTTTTTTTGAGAAATGAATATTGTACAATATATTTGATGACTATGACTGAAAGAATTCAATTTTATGCTTCCACTGTACAACAGGGAAAGCCAGTTTTCCCAGCTTTTGAACATGAAGAGGGTAAGAACAAGACTAGCTCAAGATTGCACATTTTAGGAACCAATAGATCAGCACCAGTTAGGGTGAAAGGTGTTGAAATTTCTTCTCATCTAGTTGCACTTGTCTGCATAAGAAGTATTTATGTTCCCTTTCAAACCATTCATCCCAATCAAAATTGGGAAACATGATGGCTGTCTCTCGCCTGGCTGCCTCATCAGAATCTGGATTGAGGAATACAATATGGCATGAAGCAACATATTCACATTCACTAAAGGAAAATCTAGCAGGAGGAAATCAAGTCTGACCAGAGCCATGGGCAACATTGCGTGTATCTGAAACTCCAAATCGTCCTCGAATTGTGTGAGGAGCAATAAATTGAGCCCTATAGGAACGGGTTGGTCCCAGGAGGCGTCTCCATACAAGGATTGCATCTGGACGTGCTAACAGATGAACCTGAATTGGACCACTGCCAATACAAAAGATAAAACTGATCAATGTACATCAGTCTAACAATTTATTCGAAATCAGTTCTGAATATGGGGTGGGAGAATTACTCTGGCAGGTAAGTTGGGTCAATTACCAGCAATTATTGGCAATGGTTTCTAATCAATATCAATACTTCATTTCCACCTTGAAGAACCTTAAAGTAAAGGTTTGAAAGAGCCTTAATTAAACAGACAATAAAATGTTTACTCATTAAAGAAAATAACAAGTAATCCCCAACAAAAGGAATTTCTTTAATGTGCCACATAATAACCTGCCTCAGTGATAGGTTTATTAGGTCTACCCTCTAGGCATGCATGAGAAAATCACTCATATGAAAATAGATAAACTCTTAATTAATGTTGATAGGTTATGGCAAATCGCTATAATGAACTAATGTAACTTAAGCAATCATCATTTGGTTTACTCACAAACAAAATCAAAGGTCTTGAGACTAATTATTCATGCTCTTGTTTCATAGAGTGGGCAATTTGAATATACCTCATGTGCATGTGGTCAAAGTGGACAGTGGAACCAAGGGGCCAAGTGGCAAAGTGAATTCCATAGAGCAGTGAAGTTTACATATGAATTGGAAACCTTTAATATCCTAGCCAAGAATAATTTATCAAATCACTCACTCAAGTATCAAGACCAGCAGGCCAGATAGAAGCCAGATGAGGATGATGGAAAGTGTCAAAGGAAACATTTGAATGCCAAATCATAAGGAAAATTTGGTGTTCAAAGTATGAGTGACCATACTGAACTGTCTCAACAGTATTTATCTGTCAAGTGTGTCTGATGGATATACAGTGTGGGCCAAAAAAAAAACAAAGCAATCATTTTTGGAGAGTTGTCAATCTGATTGTAAGCAGCCAATTCTGATGAAACTTGGTAGACACTTAGGAGGACTCAATTGGGGTTTATTGGCAGAATTTCAAATCAGAATTCCAAAAAATGGTGAGAATGGCATTTAATTTACTTTTCATCACCAAAAACGTAAGTGTTCATTTTTTCTTTAAACTTACAATTTCTTACAACTTACAAAACAAACAAGCAAACAAAAAGAACAAAAATAAAATGCATGAATATAAAAAACGAAAGCACACAATTTGGTTTAGGTAGGTTCATTTCAACTGAAAAGGTGTTCAATGTGCCCTCCATTCTGTTGAACACAGGTCTCTAGTCTGGGATGCCACAGATCAATGGCTCAGTCAATAAATCTTTGAGGGAGTGCTTCCCAAACCTCCTCTAGAGCAGCAGTTCCCAAACAGTGGGTTGCATACATTTTCCCAGCATAAAAAATCACTGTATCTGCATTTTCTTAGGATAAAACATGCCCTGCAGAAAAGGTCTATCAGTTTTCTGATCTTCATGTCATAATTACTTTTAAAATACCTCGTTCTGGATTTCGGTGGGTCACAATTCAAAAAGTCTGGGAACTGCTGCTCTAGAGCATCATGCATGGATGGAAGGTCATTAATTTCATCCTCCCATTCATCTCAGCATCAAGTTCATATATAGGGTGTCCCAAGTCACTATACCATTTCAAGCTGCAACATGAAGGTCGCTGCTGTTGGTATTGGTGGAAAGACTGTTCTTTAGAAATTTTTTCACAATAATGGCTTGGAATCAGACTCAAACGGAAACAGCTTTAAATACTTATTAGAAAGATGTACTTGTTTAGGGACATTTTCAGTACATCTTGTTGAAAGTTCTCCTACTTTGTTTTTCTCTCCTAATTTCAGATAGACAGGAAAAAAATTATATTTAATTTAATTTGCATTCAATGTCACGAGAAAAGGCTTTGAAATTTACGCTCAAGCAATGAAGAAAAGTTGCAACCTGGATGGAGGTCTTTGAGAGTCCCATCAGAGTTCAAAGGGAGTTCTGGTGTTTTTTTGGTGCCGAGCCTCATGCCAAATGTAACAATATAGGTAGAAGGCATTTTGAGGCATTTTAAAAACTCAAAAGCATCTCCATTTCTTATTAATATCATTTCAAATGACATGCTATCTTTCACACAGAAAGTCTTGCTTTAAATTCATATTATTGAATGAGTTGTCTTTTGGGATGAATTGGGGATCAAATGAATACTTAATTAACAATACATAATAAAAAGTGTTCCATATTCAAAATTTTCCATTTTTAAAAGGCTAAATTCTTGACTGGAACATGTCTTATACTAGGGTGTAACGAAAGTTTTTGTGCATAAATACAAAATTTATTTCAGCATCATTTTCTAAATAAATTTTTATATATGTATTTGGTATCATTTTGAAGTGCGTTTTATGCCACGTATAAATATATGTTGCTTTTTTTTTTTACAAATTGCTAAATTTATTTTTTAAAAATTACAGCATTCAGAATGTGACAAAAAAATCGTGCTTCACAGACTGTTGCGTTGTTTGTATGCACAAAAACTCTTGTTACAACCTAGTATACTAATTATCATTTAATATATAAATGCACCCAAAACCAATTCCTGATCCTTCAAATTACCAAAAAGGATGTAGGAATATGTTAACCAAATTTCAGCCTTCTCTGATAATCCTACTATCCACAGGGCAGAAACTTTTGGATCACCCCTTGTACCTTTGAAGTTTATGGTCAGTTACTTATATCCCCTCAAGAAGTATGCATTTTTGGTGACATGCTTAGAAAAAGTAACATGCAGCATATTGACACACCAAAAAAATTTTGCCCCCTTGGGATTTTGAAGAGATACCTCAAGGATTAGGGATTTTTATACTGTTGTAAAATATCAATAAATATTTGTAATTTCCTGACCCATCCCTAGCTACGAAGAGGAATTGTGATTGAAAAAACCTTGTCATGTAGGAGATGAGCCGGCTGTAAAAGAACTTGCCCTCATGCTCAGCATAGAATTTCTGAGCATCTTCAAGACTCAAGAGAAGTCTTCTGGAGCGAACAACCAAGAAACCTGATGATAGGATGGCCTTCCTCACTTCCTGCTGAGTCAAAAGAGCACTTAAGTGGTACATAAATTTAATAACTACAATGTTATGGTTAGAAAATGTCAGCATTAGTTGGGATTCAGTGAAGAAAGATAACTTCAAAGAGACCTTTTTTTGGAACTTTTACTTGGCCTCATCCCTAGCACTCCTTTCCTGAACTCAGTCCAACATTGCCTCTTTCCCTATTTCAGTCTCTCGTCGGACTTGGTTCAGACCAATTTTCTTCCTTTCCCACGTCAAACTTAGTTCAGCAGTTTCTGAGAAATAATATTTACACATTTATTGCCATGCATGACTGTAAAAAAAAACATGTACTTTTTCAAGCATCGAAAACAAATTTCCAGTTGAGTTGTGAGTGAAACTCAATGTCTACATTGCTTCTTCTACATCTCCTTTACGTTTCCCAAATGTTTGTAGCATTTGAGCTATACCTGTTGAAGAATCTAAGAAATTGAGAAATTATTTCGAAGGAGGCATGAATACGTTGTATGACGTCTTTGGCAGCAAATTTGTTAATAGCAAAAGTATGAACCAATGTTTTCTAGGCTTCTCAGTAGGTGACAAGTGCTTATTTTTTTCTCTATTGCCTTTTCTGAAAATGGAGAACCTAGGATCATGTGAAAAACTACACAACAGCAATCACATGAAGGAAATTTTCAATAGAGAATGCTGCCCTTCACTCCTATCCTATTGCTAGCAGTGTGACAACAGTTGGCTCTCCATCATATAACTATTATGCTTCCTTTTCTTCTTTGGCTTTGTGGACAACTTAGTCTTTTAATGCGACGTACCCAATTGCACTTAGCTGGGTAGCAGGGAGAGGCTATACCTTCCCATGCAAAGTTTCTTATACCTACCCTGTTACATCACTTCAAGGAGTGCTAACACTACTTCCTACTACAAGGCACATGGCAATTCCTGCTAGCACCTTGAATTTTCATATCATTTTAGTGCTTCCAGCTCTCTTTTGAATCCCATTGTTCCTTCAAGTGCGCATGGGTGCACATTTTGAGCAATGTGCAACACAGATTTCAAATTCATCAAGCGCATGCAAGCAAGGAGTGAATAAGCCCTAGGGGCCTGACATTGATGACAAAAGGGAGTTGTGAGCTCTCAGGCTTGATGAAAGCAAGAGTGAGTTGAAGGTAGCGAGGAGAGGCCATTTAGGTCTTGGGGTATCTCAGCAGCCTCAGCCTGAATGATTCCTGTTCAGGTTTGACCAACATTCTCTCCTCCTCTTCTCCACCATCCACCTCTCTCCTTAGCTTTCACTTCCACTGGTAAATTTCTTCACTCCCAAGAATAAGCAGATGCTGAATTAGCAAGTCCATATGGATAAATTTAAAAAGTGTATTTACTTGTTGAAAACATTAGAAAGGATGGGACCATGGATGCATGTCTTCTAAAACATGCAGAGCATCCATTATGGAACTCAGTTCCTCCATGAAAGTCCCTTTGCCCATAAGTTTGTGTGTGGTAATAAGGATCAATCAATTATAATTCCACCACATGCAGCTTGGGATCATGCTTCATTTTCAAAAACTGGGAGACAACAATCTCATATGTTAGGCCTTGGGGGCACCAATAATTTTCCTTTTCTTTTGGTGCTTCCTCTTCTTCGGCTTCAGTGTCCCTTCTCGACGTGCCTTTCGAAGCATTGGGACAAACCTCTGCCTCACAATGCGATTCCTGATTTGCTTGGCCCTGGCCAACTTGAATCGATCAAAGTCATTCATTGCCTCTCTCTGCAAGAAAACAAAAGAGACCATAATCACAATTTTAAAAATAAAATTCTTAAAGCATNTTTTAAAAATAAAAAAGAATTAGCATTGGTTTCAAACAAAATACTCTACCTTCTTAGCATCAAGCAATTTCTTGGCCAATTTGGAGTGCTCCCAGATTTCTGTGAGCTTGGCGGCCTCCCAGTTTCGGCGCAGATTTTTTGTGCCAGTTCCTCGTGGGATACGAATCACGAACTTGGTGAGATAGATGTCTGAATGTGAAACAGGTCTCCTAGTTACCCCTACTGGTGCACCATCAACCAAATACTATCAAGAAGAAAATAAAAAACATACATAAACCATGTAGCACTAATCTGCACTTGCATATCAATTCCCTGAAACAAATGCATTGAATTTGTAACCAAAAGCCAAGCACTCAACATTTTAAATTAAGACCTGCAATCAGCCTCTCAAGAAAGCTATAAGTAGATTATGAAAAGCATTTCCTTCTTACAGTCAAGAGAAGTGGCCTTCTGTATTTAAAAAAAAAGAAGATATCTATTGCAGTTATGTACTTGCTTAACACTGAACAATTATCACAGTACAAAGAAGACATCAGGAATCAGATGGTAGTGCTGATTACTTAGACATGGATAAAATGAAAGCATCATATCAGGGTGTGTTCTATAGTGGCCTGCTTCTATGATGAACCATCCAATCATTCCTGTTTTGAACAACTAAAATTTCACACTTTCAGTTTCAGTATATTCTCCCCACTTTTCTTGGTTTCTTTTTGTAGAAAAGCATACTTTTACAGGGTGGTTGGAAAGTAACTCCCTATTTATTCATAAATAAAAAAATGTGTATGCTGTCTGAAACAGGCAAATAACATGGCATTGGAAGAGTATTCCTTGAGGTTTCATATGATCTATGTATCAAAGTCTTACAGTTCAACATATAAACCATAATTTGTAACACATTTCTTCATATAGGATGGAGCTCCACCTCATTTTGTGCAAATTGTACAAGTGGCTGGATGTGAACTTTGCACGCTGGTGGATAGGACATCAGAGGTTAGTCACTCAGCCTACAAGAAGTCCTGACTTAACAATGTGAGATGATTTTCCCTTTGGATTGGACCAAGAAAAAGGTGCATGAAACCAATCCTAAAACTGTAAAGGAACTTGAACAACGTGTAAGGTTCCATCACACAAGATCACAAAAGTTCAAATGGTTCCATTGAGAAAGCAGTGAAGTGTTTGAAAAATATTACAAAACGTATTGCAAGTTATGGTTCCCATCTTGAACTGTATGACTTTGATACCTAGATCATATGAAACCTCATGGCATACTCTTTCCAATGCTATGACATTCACCTGTTTCTGACAGCTTATGTAATTTTAATTATAGGGAGTTACTTTCCAACCACCCTGTACATTAAAGGAAAGGTGAATGGATGAGGCACCTCCAAAAAAAAAGCAAATACTGCAGTAGATGCTCCAAATGCTAGCTGTAAATGGGCATGGCCCTCAGGTCCTATTAGCCCAACTCTTAAGCTATACACAACTAAAGCACAGAAATTCTCTGAGCAGCTCCATGGCTGGATGTCTTGCACTGCTGCAAATCACATTTTATTCCTTCTGACTGCTAGAGGTTTTAGACAAGTCATGATGGAAGTAAACATAGAAGATAGCACTCTTCCCCTGGCCAAAACGTGAAAACACTGACAAGTCTACATAGCTGATTCTAAAGACTTTCAATGAACCTTGTATTGTTTATGCTATCTGGTGATTATAAAGATTGCACAAAGCAATAGTATGAAATAGCTACTGATACATAAAAAGAAGTAAAATTGCACTAGAGTGAGCTGTAGGAGATGCCTCACTTTCTAATGGCATTCTAATCCTCTTCCCCTCCTTCTAGCTTTGGTCCTTGTATTTTTTTTTTGCATTAGGAATTTCAGGTCCACCTCATTGTCTTATAAACTTCAAACCCCGTTCATCTTCATATCCCAGAAGAAAAAAAATTTGATTTCTCATCTGTATGGCTCTCTCTCACAAAGACCCAATGACCTCAGCATATACATTTCACAAGAGCAATTGGGGCTGGCTGTACAGGTATAGGATGATATAGAATATTTTGAGGATTGAGTCATAATAATAATATTTGCCCAGGTGCTGAGCCAAGTCAAGTTGCAACATGTAAGATTTCATTCTTTTATATCAAAGTGAGCATACAAGCTTGTTTCTTGTTGCCAAAGAGTTATTCCTATGAAGACTTAAAACTTGAAAGCTGGCAATTTCAGTGAGGGGCAAAACAATATTATCACCCCTTGGACTGGCCACTAAGAAAAAACACTGGATGCGATAATTGGAAAGCAAAATATTTCAAGCTCTATTGTTTTCCCTTAGCTGCAACAGAAAACACCTAAGTAGGGCAGTTCCAGAGTTATTAGGATAAAAATGTAGTAAAAAATTAACAAAGATGTCATCCAACATACTTTTCTTGTGCTATATGGATTCTAAACTTAGACCAAATAAACTAAAATAAACATTCATCACCTGACTGGATGGTTTTTCATTACTCTAGCAACATTCCAGTTTGATGAATTCAACACCTGCTTGGTGAACCTTATATTTTTATCTATTTGTTACATCAGTAACGCTAAAACTTTCCTAGTCAATTAATTTTTGAGCAACAACAAATGTCGTTTGGGATGAAGAATGATTGTCTATGCCTTCTTTCTTGAAAACAAGGAAGCTTCAGGTGAAGCCAAATCAGACAGAATTGGATAAGAAACAGCAGGATGAAAACCACTGTCTAAATGTCTTTACATTTCTGTCTTTACATAACACAACATGAATAGGCTTACTTTTTTTCACCCATGGGAGAAATGAGACAATTTTGGTCAGAATAGAGAAAAGAATCTATGCTCTATAAGGCACTGGTGAAGTAGAATTTCTGGACCAAACCATCTGTAAGGTATACCAGCATACATGTTTCCATTTTCAGTCAGGTGTTACATCAGTAACTTTGGAACTGCCCATTGAAAAGTGATTTGCAAATGAATTCATACCAACTTTTAACATTCATTCCATCATCTGCTGTCATTTCTATCATAAAAAGTATACTCTCATCTCCCTGGATACACCATAGATAAAACATTGCACAATATAAGAAGTGGTATGAGTATCACAGTAGAGGAGTGTACAACGCAGAAAGCTGTAAATAAGCTTCACCAGTGAGCTGACAACTATGACCTCCAAAAATTTTTTTGAAAGAATGAGATTCATTGTACATTTACTGTATAGTTAAAAATGAAGTGGAAAGAACATTCTTTTTACTGGTAAGTGCAGAAAGGCCTAATGCCAACAACATAGTAGTTGGCATCAAGACTTCATAACTCTGTTGACCCACCCTTGAAGGCAAGGTTGCCAGATTTACAGTGCAAGGTGTCACTTGTGCTATAACTGACCTGCAGGTGGGACGATCCCACCTGATAACATTCACTCCCTAGGCTAATCAGAATGAGATACACTTCTCAACCAGCATGCTACATGTTCAAACAGCATGAGGCAGAAAGACCTTCATTAAGAGGCAATATGAATGGTGAGTATGAAGGATCCCCTCTTGGAAGTCGCCATCACCAGATATAAGAAAAAAATTGGCTGCACGTTCTTGCACATAGAATGACAGCCATGTCATACATGTCACACGTAGAATCAAAGTGTCATTGGCCATGATTGGAAATAAAGTTCCATTGCCATAGTATGGAGAGAATGATTAAACAAATAATCTAGTAGCAACTACAGTGTTAGCAATGCTAAGCCTGAACACAAACTGCCAGAAAATATTTTTAAAAGTCTGGAGTCTGTCAAAATAAAATCATCTTACTCTGTTGGCATCGATGACATCAACAATACAACAGATTTTTCCTTCATCTGGTCCACGCTTGATCAAGGCAATGCGACCAATCTCGACAAGCTTGGGAAAAGGAAACGAAATAGCACGCAAAGCAGACTTCTTCTCTCTCTTCTCTTCCCCACTGAGGACTGGCTTTGGTGGAAAAGCAGGTTTCTTATCCTTCTTCAGCGGGGGCTTTCTATCCTCCTTCGGCTTCTTTGCCACCTTTGCTTCTCCTTTAGGGCCCATTTCCTTCAAAGGCTACTTCAGGGCACTGCGCTAACAAAAGTCAAGTAAAAAAGTCCATTGTAAATCAAACACACGCTACCTAAAGTTAATGCCTTTGCAAACGTTACAGTTAGGCCCCACTAAGTGGCACGTGGCGTACGGAAAATGTGCATCGGATGGTGCTTCAGTTATTGCGGAATTTTCGTTTTTACAGCTCGATGCAATATATAAACCTTTGTTGCTGAAAAATATAGGGCAAAATGACAATTACATGCGATTCGAAGATTATAATACTAGCTAATTCGGCAAAGACAGTGGCTGAAACACTCCCCTGTAATAGCGTAAGCAAAAACCGGGGGGGAGGACAGAGCACGACTCACCAGCAGCCAGCCACCATTACAACAGAGAGGAGGGTTCAAAGCAGGGTTGCCATTGCATTTCTCTTTCCTTTTCATTAATTGACATTTTTGCACCTACTACAAGGAGCTGGATGCATAATTCTCAAAGCAGTGTCAGTAATATTCAGGTGATGGGTCAGAAGTAATTTCTCGTTTCCTTAAAGCTGTGAAGCGAGACAAATAAATGTTTCATTTGCAACAATCCGAAAGAACCGTTTTTATTTTCCTCTGTCGTTTTTAGGGGAGTACACATTTTCAAAACTCCATTTGTCTTCGGCACTTTCTATGCATGGGTATTTGAGTCAAACGAAGAATGACAGACTCCAGTAAAGCAAGATATTTAAAAATCCGTATCATGTGTTTAATTCATTCTTGACATTTTCGAAGCTCCGTCTCTTCTTTTTGTCGTCCTTCACCAGTACGAAATTGTTACGCATTTATTCTGCACCGTCACTTGTCTGTGATCCTTCGCTTGCTCTTTTCATCTACCTCCATCAACTTATTTCTTGCTGTCTTTTTTACTAATGACTTCTGAATTGTGTGAATACTAACCCACCCAGATAACACGTTACATTGCGCCCACATTGGATAAAGATTGGAGACGTTCGCGGAACGTGAATGTTGGGGAACGATGTTGGCCCCATGTGGGCATATCCCCTCGTTGAAAAGAACTACAGAACTCCTGGTGGAGAGCTTTAACACCTTGAAGTTCTTCGCCAGGTCACTAGATGGAGGTATTGGTCCCGCTTTTCACACAGTACGCTAAAGTTCCTTTCCCTCTTTTCCTGGAATCAACCTTCGAGGATTGTTTAGTACCTCGCCATATGTCTCGCCTAGTCTCATTATAGGAATCAATAAACGCGGATATTTCATCATTTGTTATCCACTTATTCAAGACAGATTCATGGAGCTCAGGCCATAAACAAACTCATATTCCCGATGACAATCCTTTTTTCAAAAGGATTTGTTTGTGGACTGGTTTTTTTTTTTTTTTTACCGAAGAGGCTATAGGAGTATCCGTGAACTTAATTCCGTCATTTCCTCATCTCCATTGCAGAAGGAATAAATGAAGGTCTGATATTGCAGATATTTCATGGAACCGTACAAGGTGGTCCATCCTCTGACACGTATTGAAATTAGTAGCCAGGGGAAGATCAACGGCTGTACTTTCCTATGTCTCCTGCTAATACATGTCCTTGGTAGGTTGTAATATTACAGGTTCCGTACTACAGATGGGAATACCTCCACTAGATAAGGAATCTAAGTATATGGTACGAAATGATGATGACAGAGCAAAAACCAGCTACTTGGGTAAGTGGGTTATACGTTGCTATCCAACTTACTGCCAGCGTTGGCCCCACGTTGTCCCAACGGCCACTTTCACGTGGGGCCTACGTGAACAACCTAACGTTGGAAGACCACGTTGGGCCAACATGGGCCCCACGAAAAATGTTATCTGGGAAGATTCTTCGCAATCATGAGTACTCGCATTACATAAATCCTCTGAACGTTGGCG